AAATGCAACATTTTAACTCGGTTTTTGGTAGATTTTTACGTGACTAACATAAGGCTACTGTGGAAGTGCCCATTTCGGTTACAACGACATTCGTTTATAACGACACTATTTTTAGGTCCCTTTGATGACGTTATAACCAAGTTCTACTGTACTTTCAATGTTTAACTTTGCGTCCGCCATTAATAAACCTCACGGAGGTTAAAGTAATGGTCTCTTCCACTTACCTATCCCATAGTGCAAGTCTAAGACCGGGAGCATATAACGGAGTCATACCTGGTATGTCTGCATCATGAGCATCTGCTCCAGTTTCAGAGCTTTCTGCGCACCGGCTCGCAACCTGTTCTCATGCACGGTCTTCATGCGTCGCAGTTCCCGCTCCCACAGACGCTCCTTCTCCTGATGCACTCTGAAGATAACCTGCTCGTTGTGCTCCATAGTCTGACGCAGGTAGGCCAGCTCGGAGTCGCGGTCTCTGAGGGCAGCTTCCAGTTCCGCAACCCCAGAGTCGGATGGAGAGGGTGCCAGATGGAGCAGACTACCGCCATCGCTTCCGGGCAGCAGCCGGAAAGGCAAAGACTTGGAGCTGGGGGTGATTTTAAAGTAAAATACAAAGGTCAGTTGTCCCCTTGATTAAGTCCCAAGGTCTGAGGGCGTAATGGCATTGCGGGTAATCACCACGCATTCTTAACCTCGATACTAAGTGAAGGTCGGTAATCGGCTTACGCCACGGCCGTTTCACCTCAAGGGAATGTGTTCTCGGTACACAACTTGGGGGAGCTGTGTGGGCCTCGGAGCCGGTTTGGGCGTGGCGCAGAAGAAAGAATTGCTTCCTCTACCAGGAATCAAACTCAGATCTTCTAGCCCGCAGTCAGTCGCTATACTGGCTAAAGTACTTAAGAACACTGCGAGGAAATCAGAAGCACTGTCAAATTACAGCTTTCTACATATATATAGAATGTAAAAAGTAAAGTTTTTCCTGTGCTTAATTAATTAAGCACTACGCCATGAAGGAGAATGGGGAAGTGGATGTATAGATCCACATTTTCTTGACCTCAGTACTAGATGGAGGTGAGTGGTCAGCTTCACCACCCGGCCACTTTATCCCCGGGGAAAAGTCCCCGGTACCCATTGGACAGAGGGCTGGGTGTGCCCCAGAGCCCATCTGAACGACGTGGAGGTGAGAAAATTCTTCAACCTACCAGGAACTCCAACTCCGAACCCTAAGTCGTCCAGCCCGTAGGCAGTATCTATACCGACTCCGTTATAATAAAATATGAAATAATGAAGTTTATAACGATGCAGCCTATTAACTCTAGGCTTACTGCTGATTTTTATATGCCTACAACAGATTGCTTCTGCAGTAAATTAACATCAAATTAAACACGAATGAAAAATCGTAAAAAAAACTGGGCTTGAGAATATTCCCTACAACATGTCCACAGCTAATTGTTAAGGATATACAAATTATGCAATTAAATATTGCGATTTAATGGATCTGCTCACCTGTTTCCATGGCTGTTGTGCGAGCTGCCGGACGTAAGGGGCTTGCGAACATTCTCCAGGCTATCGTAACCGACGAGTTTCCGGCTCGACACTAGCGGAAGGGACGTCAGAGATGTCATCGCTAGAGGCGGCGAGGAAGATGTTGAGGTAGAAGAAGACAGCAGTTTCCTGTCCAGGGAGTAGTTGGAATTACTGCCGCGATGATGCCTGAGGTCACTGCTACCTACGGATATTTAAAAGTGAATTATCTACGTGAGGATTACTGCAGGTTTAAGTTGTGTATCAGAATTAATTTTGCAGTGATGTTGACTGAAGCTTAAAAACTGTAAAATTTTTAAATACGATGTTTAGTGTTCTATGTATGTAGTGGACTGACGTGTTTCAGGTTCCAGAGGAAACTGAAGTCGGTATCGTTGCATTCAGAAAGAAAATTTGCAGAACAGTGTCCAATAGGTTCGCCAGGGCCGTCCGTCTGTCCGTAAGTCTTTCTGCATTTAGCATTTCGAGAACAGCTGATCCCATTGTCATGAAATTATGCACTGGATAATTCAAGTAAAATTGTTCAAATATTTTGATTTTTAGAATCTGAAAATATTAGAGGCACTTCGCATGAACACATATATTGTATAAAGAGAGTAACTCGCTGATTATTTATTGGGGCGAAGATTATTTCGAGTAAACGTTATAGAGAAAACTAAAGCCCGAATTTTAAGTCAATTATAGTATTTCCGCAAGTCGTAGGGTTTTCAAGATAATTAAACAAGATGGCCGAACATCCCAGAACTGTTCTGTTAAGCGTGCGTTCCCAAATGCGTGTATTCAACAGTCCAGCGCGGTCTTCCGACCACATGAGAAGATTATCTAAGTCATTTATTGCCGATGCTTACTGAACGACGTTTCCTTTCACCTGAATACGTAGATCTACGGCTACATATATATATATATATGTATATGTATATATTTAATTGAAATAAATTGTACACGTTCCTGACTAAAAGTTAATGAAAACCCAGGATTGTTCCACACGACTTATACGACTCCGGGAAGTTTTTAAAGTTTGCCACACTTCCTTAAAAAGTCGCTTAAATATTTCATTATCTATTTTTAGCAACTTTAAATGTCTTACTTCCGTAGAGGGTGAGCTGGGAACCTGGTCGAGCCAGAATTGGGGTGGAGCCATAGCGTTCACCGTTATTGGTGAAGCGGGCTGCCGGCGTCATGGCAACTGGCTTGAAGGCGATTGGCCGTATCACAACCTTTCCCTGAAACAGAGTAAATCTGTCAGTTATTCGGAGAAAAAACTGTCACGAGCCTGAATTGAAACTATAGTTGAGCCGACCAAAAATTCTCACGGGCAGTGGGGATAAGAGTTGCTAGGATGGGAATACCTGTTCACCCACTGTACCACCATTGCCTGCCTGCTGGCACCCAGTAAGGCTACTGTAGAAAGAATAAACCAAGCAACAGGAACTTTAAAGTGGCGGTAGTGCAGTGGGGTGAAGGAAGGAAAATAAAAAAAGTGGGGAACTATGTTTGAGATTTCTTTGCACGGCTCCACTATAGCGACATATGAAATTAGTCGATAATTTTTACAACAACCTGCATGAGAACTGCAGCGTTTATTACAAATATCATCATCATCATCAGTAATCTGTCAGACGACAGGTCCACAGTCTCTTCCAAAACAGCTTCTCCACTTAATGCGATCTTCTGTTTTTGGAAAGAGACTATCCAGGAAAAGTGATAATGTGGTAGTTTTTCCATTTGCTTTCCACATCGCAGTACAACAGCCGTTCAAACCACTCTGGTCACGCCTGTTGCTACACGAACTTGAACCATCTCGAGCATCATTTGCTCTGTGCTTCAAGTCGCTACTGATGACGCTGCTTCCGACATCAGTTTTTGGTGTCTCTCTTCGTCTGATGCCTACCCTTTGACCTGTCCAGCAAGGGAGGCCCTGCCAGTAGCTACGCTACCGCTGGTATAGCTCTCAGGGTCCTTGGCATACTCAAACCCCCTCACCACGATAAGGTGGAGACACCAAGGAGGGGGATTACAAATATATCTTATTCATATTGGGTCTTACGCAGCTGTATCCAGTATACTTGTACATAAATATATTTTCTCCAAGGTTCATCTACCATCTCCTTCAAGTTTATTTTTCTTTCATGCTGTTCGGCCAAAACTACGTTCAGATATACAATGAGAGGGCAGAATTCACATATGATAGAATGTCGTAAAAAACAGGCACTAAGAAATGGGATCTACAGTAAGGAGGACATCTCCACATAATGCAACTGACGCTTTATCTGTTTAGCAAATATGTAAGAGGCCATAAAGGCACTGCAACCAGAGAACCAGGCAGGCCAAATGACTTCTTGAAACACAGACGTGAATAACAGTGACGTGTAGAAAGAACTGGAAGAAACAATTGAACAGCTGCGGTCCTATGGAGCACAACACTGACAGAAAAACACTCGCAGGCCAAAAAATGTTGCACACTCAACATTTCATAGTAAGCAAAGTACAGAAGGCCGGTCACGGTAGCCAAGCGGTCTAAGGCATGTACTGCCTTCGCTAGCTTCGAAACCGGGATCGTGGGTTCGAATCCCACTCAGGGCATGGATGTTTAGTTTGTGTGTGTGCGTTTTTCTGTGTTTGTATACAGGTAGAGGCCTTGCGACGAGCTGATCACCCGCCCAAGGAGTCCTACCGAATGTGTAAGATATAGAAAAACCGAAGTGAACGGAGAAGTTCATGGAGGTAGGCCTAGGCCCACTGGGGCTGTAGTGCCAAGGAGAAAAAAAAAAGTACAGAAGAAGTGTTAATTTTCTTGATATTTTGATGAGACAATTCTATTGTGATAAGTGGATATGTGATGTGTGGATGAGACAGATCTATAATTAAATTTCTTTTTGTTGCTTATTTAACGTTGTTGTCGGTATCTCAGATTCTACAGTTACACATTTTAAGTGATTCGTAAATGAAGTATTGCAAAGGATGTGAAACGAAGCATAGGCTATCACGCACAATATGGTCAGTCCTCAATGCAAATATTTTCACCTTTATTTCTTCACTTACGACACGCTTCGGCCTCAAACGGCCATCATCAGGTGTTTTGTCTCTGCCAAAACTGTCGCACTGTATAAAATGTATAAAATGTTCACTTATTTAGACATTTGCAAATTTTATGTTTCTTTTTAATGTACTAATTTAATACCCAGAATTACTGCGTTTTTTACTTTTTCCATCGTTCGGAATTCTAGGTAATAGAGGACACGACGTTTCGGAAACTGGATCTGTTTCCGTCTTCAGGTGAGAAAGGAAGATACCTTCTCAGTTGAGCCCCTTAATCCAATGACTGAGATTAGCTCTTTCTAAGGGGCCCAAATGAGAAGTTGTCTTCCTTTCTCACCTGAAGACGGAAACAGACCCAGTTCCCGAAACGTCGTGTCGTCTATTACTTAGAATTCCGGATGCTGGAAAAAGTCCAAAAGCCCAGTAATTCTATGTAACATCCACCATCGTCAGAATCCTTTAGAATCTACTAATTTAATATTGCAAATTTGTAGCCTAATTTAAAGACCTGGAAGTTCTGAGGAAAAAACAAGAAGCCTCTATCAAGGTAGTCGGTGTGTCGGCAAAGATTTGAACGAGGCAACTTCTGATTACAAGTCGGAAGTTACCCTTGGAGTCAGAAAATTTCATATGATACAATTCGCGTCGGGGACACACGGTAGTGTAGTTGGTTGAGGGACTATGCTACAAGCCGGAAGGTCGCGGGTTCAAGTCCCGATGAGGTCATTGGATTTCTTTCAATTTACCTAATCCTTCCAGCCGCACTATGGCCCTGGGATTCACTCAGCCTCTAACAGAAATGAGTACGAGGAATTAATTTAAAAATGTTCCTGGGGAGTATAGCGCCATCTTTGAGCCAACTGTCTAGATAATATGGGACCCTCAACGTCTCACAACCCTATGGGACTTCACGGCCTGGTACAGGGATAGCTTTACTTTTTTCTTTACTTTTACAATTCGCGTCGAAATATACAGCCTACCGGTCCTGAATGAAAATAAAATATCGTTGTATTGACCTATGATTTGAGCGTAGCACACAACAGGTATGTCTAAATACAGGTTATAAGCAGTTCTTGGTACCGCTGGGACCACACCTCTTGCGCAGGTGCAGCTGGAGATGAAGGAAATGAGGTGAGGAGGCTACAGTAGGTCAGGCCGGTTTACACTTGCTTCATACGCGAGGTACAACTGTTCGTCCTCCATTCAGGTGCGATGCCTGTACCAATGTATGCTGCTTGTGAGGGGAAACTGGCCTCTGTGGAGCGACTGCAGAACGACTCAGCCATCCAACTCCCACACTTCCTGGTTCCTATATATTCCAGGAAATTTAATAAAGTGAACATACCAAGAGGATATCATATTCATATTTAAGAAATTTTGATCCCTTATATCTCTCAAAAGATATCAATAAAGATGTTATGAGTGATTTACACTAGAAGTTTTAGAGTAATTTTATTTCGAGATGAGTTCTCCCGGCTGCTGGGATTCATAATGTGATTTTCTGGGTTATGACACCGTGTAGTCTGGCAGATGACTACCACCGTTCCGAAAGGAACTTACTTCCGCAGTCCTTAAGGAAGAAGTGCTGAAGTCGGAGGCAAAACATTCCTCAGAAATGCTGGTGACCATCTACCAGAATGCACGGTGTCATAACCCAGTGGACCACAACATAAACTCCGCTTTTTTTATTGCTAGTGGTGTGGGACTAAGTCCCTTGTACTGCGGCCACTTGTAACCTATTGTACCAGCCCCAGATGATAGGTGAGGGTGATTGTGGAGTATTTGGTGGAATGAAGATTGGCAGGGGAAATCGAAGTACTCGGAGAAAACCTGCTCCGGCGCCACGTTGTCCACTACAAATCCCACTTGACCAGACCCAGGATCGAACCCGGGCCGCCGCGGTGGGAAGCCAGCGACTAACCGCTTGAGCTATGGCGCGGCCATAGTATATATTAATATTTACATTATTAAAAATCATTTCGAATACAAAGAAATCAAAACGCTCGTGGTGGGTACTGGATCTGTCAACAATACAGTCTCTTCTACAAAAAAAATATTTTTAAATAAGGAGAATTACAAACTCATAAAGGAACGCATACTGAAACTCGGGTGTTCAATAAAATTAGCACACGCTTTAGCCTTCTTGCAAGAGGTTTATTAGCTAATTAGATACTGAACTATATGAAGTCAGAGATAACATGTTGGTACGTAGATGACTTACTTAGATATGGAGCTGTGCCCTTCTTGAGGAGAAGCCAAATCTACAGCTACTCAAGAATTTCCCAGCATTTTATGGAACCCGAAGGTTATTGCCGTTTTCACAACAGCTCTCCACTGGTCCCTATCCTGAGCCAGAGCAATCCAATCCATACCACCCCATCCTATCTCTCTAATATCCATTTTACTATTGTCCACTCACCTACCTCTTGCCTTCCCAGTGGTCTCTTTCCTTCTGGCTTTCCCACCAATATCCTATATACATTCCTCTTCTCCCCATTCGTGCTACATGCCATCCCCACCTCATACTCCTTGGCTTGATCATTCTAATTATACTTGGAGAAGAGTACAAGTCACGAAGCTCCTCATTATGCAGTTTTCTCCAACCTCCTGTCACTTCAGCCCTCTTCGGTCAAAATATTCTCCTTAACACCCTGTTGGTAGTTGGTAGATCACAATAAAATTAAATCGTGTTCATTAACTTCTTCAACTTATATTCGTAAAAAAATCATTTTCTAACCTCTCAGCTTAAAAGATTCATTTCTTTGTACCGAGCTATGTCACTGTTCCCGAATAACTGTTGGCCTACTCACGCTCAGATATCGTTGCGGTTTGACATTGAAGATGCAAGAAGTTGCACGTTTCTTCTAATATCTCTTCACACTCCACGAGAACCATCACAGCACAAGGCTTTCAGCAGCAAAATCCTCATTGTATATTACTGAAACAGCGGCTGAAGACAGTGTGCTGCTGCTACTGCCGGCTACGCCCTGCGGTGGTAACCAGAAGAGCTTGAAAAAGGTCTAGTGATCTATACGAGAGGATTCGTTAAAACTGTTACAAGAACTGTTACAGGGAAAACTGTTATGCAACCAGTACATTTATTATAACACATGACGTGTGTATTCAAAAGCGTACATGGTAAAGAAGATTTAAAACGGCAGGTCAAAACTTAGGCTCTCGGCTA